ACAACCTTTTATGGATATTTTTCACTACTTTTTATATGAAAAATTATTATGTCTATTAATAATACTTACTATTGGGTGAGAAAATATGTACTATTTAAAATTTAAACTTCTCAATTTGAATTTTGAACTTGATAGGTAGGAAAAGAGTTCAGCATTTAATATTTCTGTCGTGGGAAAAAGATATATATAATAAATTCGAATTTAATATAAAATTATAGATTAAACAAAAAATGTATTAGAAATTATAAAAATATATTTATAGTTGATAAAAAGAAATCTAAATTTTAAATTTAAACTTCATAGGTGGGGAAAAAGTTTAAAATTGGAAGTCAAACAACTATATTAATTTATCACTGCTTTTTGCATAGGTGATTGTTAAGCCTATTAATAATACCACAACTTTCGGCATCGTAAATTGTTAAGCCTATTAATAATTGGTGTTTTTTAATTGCAGAGTTTTGTTTGTGGTAGATACTTACAAAGTTTTATAGCTTTTCACCTCCCTAAATAGCACAAAACATTAACACGATTCTTTCTTTTAGCAATTAAGCGACGACAGACGCCGACAAATTTTTTGATCTTTTTCCTCCGTGCATCGCACGGGTACTGCTCTAGTAATTACTTTAAAGTTAGAAACTACAGTTTTGAAAGAAAAAAAATTATAATAAGAAATTCTCTTTTTTTATAATGAAAAAAAAACTAAAAACTAAAAGCCCTTAATATAAACTTTTTTTTTTAACTTCTTATATGTTTTTCTTAAATTGTGTGCTTTTATTTAAAATGAAGAGTAATAAAGATAGGGAGAGATAATTTTCTTAAAATATATGATTTTAAGTTAAAAATCTTATGTAATTACCAAATAATTTTTAACTTTTTTTAAACTTTTTTTTTTATTTTTAGCTTATAAGTAGCTTCTAGCTTAAAAAAGAGAGTATCCAAACAGACTCAATATAGGATAAAACCTGATTGTATAACACATAATTAAATTTTAGTATTATCTAGTGTTTGACGTAATATTATATAAGATAATGTATTGTATAAGATAATATCATTCAGTATTTAGTAATGCACTGTATAACACTAGATAGGATAAAAATAAATATTTTTAACAAAAATATTCTTTAATAAAGAATTTATATAATTCTTCCAAATATATCATATGATATTAATTTTTATAAAAATCTATTGATCAGTGTATCCACAAAATATATTAATTTTTATAAAAATAAAAATCTCCAATATTTAAAAAATTAACATATTAAAAAATCAATTTTTATTTTGATATATTAATATTAAATAATATATTAATTCTTGAGAATTGCATTGATCAGCAATGTTAGTACATCATGCCATATTCTTGGGCTTGATTAAGTTATACATCGTTTTGATGTATTAAGGAATTCTGGTGTATAAGCTTATACTATAGGATGGTCATACCAAACAACTAAAAATATTATAACGTATAGTATAAATTTATACTATCAGATTTATATATCATACCTAGGGGTGTTAACGGGCCGAGCCGAGCCGAGCTTTGGTCTTAAAAGGCTAAGCATGTGTTTAAATGTGTCAGCCTGACCATGTCTATTACCTGTTATGAATATAATTTCAGCCTGTGGCCTGTCTTATTTACAAAAAATAAAAGCCTGGTTTAGCCTGTTTAAAAAAAATAAGACAACAAAAATGTATCCAAACAAAATATACAATCAACAGCACGAGTAATTTCGTAAATATTCATAAATTTAATGTATATCAAAACAGCATAATATAAAACAAAATCATTCAAAAAGTATGTTTAATTAATAAAATAGGATGAAATGGATTGAAGAGAGAGAGGACTATCACAAATAGTATAAAAAATATAAAATAAAAATAAAAAATTAATATATTAGGCCAGCCTGAGAGGCTCTAAGGCCGAACTTTTGAATTGGAGCCTGAGGCCTTTTTATTAAATGAGCTTTTATACAAGTTCAAGCCTTGTTCCAACAATCAATTTTAGACATGTAAGCTCAGGTCTTCACGAGCCGAGCCAAAGGCCCCTGACTCGTTTAATACCCCTAATCATACCAAACAGGTCTTAAGGGTAACTTTTGAAATAAACTCTATTTTTGTTTAGATCAAAAGTTAAACCCATAAAAAAATCACCACTTTTTTTTTTAGAACTGATTTTAAGAGATTGATATTTTTCGAAAATAACTGAGTTTATATTACAGTTAATTTTTTGTTGTTGGATATTATTATGTTTAATTTTAGGAAAAAATGTGGGTCTTTTTAAAAGACATAAACTTAAATTCTTTTAAAAAAGAGATAGACATAAAAAAGTGGGATTCAAATTCCTTTGTGTATATCTCTCTCTTAAAAGGATCTAAATTTGTGTTCTTTAAAAAGACACGTACTTTTTCCTTAATTTTAATATGAGAACATTATAATTTCAATCATGATGCATTGATGCAGGAGTATGATTACTAAATCAGGTTTGCATACTCTTTTAAAGATTTAATTTAAATTTTAGTTATTTTTTAATATTTCTGAGGTTTAAATTGCTAGTCTACTTAATTAGGATGTGCGAAAAATTAAAAATAAATCCAGGCAAAAAAAATTAAAAAATAAAATGTTGGGCTGACGACCTGTAAGAACTCATAAAATATAAGTACACCTTTTATCCAAGAAATGATTTTATGATTAATGTTTTGTTATACATTAAATTATAAATCACAATCTTAAAAATTATACATAAACATTTCATGCTGATTACCATGTTAACCTCCAAAAAGCCAATAAAACTACAATGAATTTGTAAACATTGTTAATCAGCTTTTTACCCTACTCGTGTTAACCGTGAGCCCGACATAAATCTGTTGCCTAATTCTTCAAATGATGCGATTGAATTCGCCAGTAGTGTTGGGAACCATGTCTGTGCGGTTCCCGTCAGAGTTGTTGCAAACAACTAAGTAATTAGTGACTCGTCAATTCCTTTAATGTACATCTGCATATCAAATGCATCAATATAGACCTGTGGTTCCTTCTTCTATCATACTTCAGCAATTATGTTAAATTTAATATTTTGGGAAAGGTGCATCAACGATCTCATTCGTAAAAAAGCTATTGTTGTATTGTTTCATTCTATATATGCCAATTTCAGCACGGCCCGTATTTGCTGCATCTTGATTTCGTTCCACAATGTCTCTATTACGGTCCATTTCACTTCAACTTTGTTCAGCAAAGATTGACATGGATTATTTCATTGTAAGAATATATCACATGTCTCAAAGTTTTTGTGGCGTGTAATTTATATTGACTCAATTGCATTTATATTTTAGGGTCTATAAATGAATAATTTTATTAGTATGACTAACTTTAAATTTAAGTTTCAATTAAAAATCACTAGTTGTGGGAAACTTTAATAATTTGCACTTTATTACAAAAAATTATTAAAAGAACTTATGAAAATATTGAACTATTTATAATATTAAACAATCTTAGTAAGTCTAATAGGCTTGGAAGTCCAAACCAAACCTTGTATTTTTTAAAAACATTATGGCTCAGGCCAATATTTTAGCTTGCACCATGTTAAGAGGTCAGGCAGACTTAAAATATTTTACATATATCTAGCTTATTTAAGTTAAAATATAGTTTGATCTAATCCATTTATACCTCTAAATTAGTGAGGCAAGTGCTTTTTTTATCAATTGAGGATGTTGTTTAGTCTTTAATCTCAATTGCAATTGATTTTTTTTTTTTTAATTTGAGTGGTCACTTAATTTGTCTTAGATCCTTAAAAAAGGCATGACTTTTATCTTAAGTCATATTCTTCTTCTTTTATTTAATTATCTCATTTTCATATCCTTCACCCATCGGATCTATACTTTTGTGTTAAAAACTTCAAAGAACTAACGTGCTTATAAAACTAAAGCACAGTAATTGAAAGCTTTGCAGTCAATAATAGCAACATTAATAATAATCAAGTACGAATTATTCTATTATTTTAAATGATAGGACAAAAGCTAAGCAATTTTTTATGCTTTGGTTAAAAGTTATGTAGATTTTTACTTATTTATTAATTCTGAATGTTAATGTCTATTTATTTATTAAAATAGATGCTTGTCATACTTAACCTTAATGATTAAGAGAGGAAAATTAAACAATTGTGTACAAGTTAATTGTTAAATAAATTAGTCTTTTTCAAATTCAAATGTGATCCAAAAGAGGCAACACCAGATTTGAAAATTCGAGGAGTAATACAAATAAATAAATTCTGCAATGAGTGGATAATATTTGTAAGGTTTAAATTGTTAGTTTACTTATTTACTATTTAGGATGAGTGAAAATTTAAAAATAAATCCACTAAACCTTTTTTTTTTAAATGACGGGCTGAGGACTTGTAACAACTCATAAAATACAAGTACACCTTTTATCCAAGAAATTATTCTATGATTAATGTTTTATTAGAAATTAAATTATAAACTATAATCTTAAAAATTATACATAACCATTTCATGTGGATTACCATGTTAACCTCCAAAAAGCCAATAAAACTACAATCAAATTTCTAATCATTGTGAATCTTTAGTCAGTTTTTTACCCCACTCATCCTCCTCACTCGTGTTAACAGTGAGTCCCACATTAAGCACCACCATAGTGCAAATGCTGCCGAGAAAATCTCTAACCCTTGTCTATATTCCTATATAGAAGGTGTGCACCTGTAGGTTTATTGGCTTTTTGGAGGTTAACATGGTAATCCACATGAAATGGTCATGTATAATTTTTAAGATTATAATTTATAATTTAGTGTATAACAAAACAACAATCATAAAATCATTTGCCCCTGTAAGCATCCTCATATTCAGGGTCTAAACCAATGCATTAACAAAGAACAGCTGCGAGTCAGGGTCATCTTGCAGGATGAGAAGTGTTAAGTGTAAACATCTTAAACAAGGAAACAACATAGCCCCATCATTACTATCTTTCTTAGTGGTAGACTGGTAGCCATAAATCCCACCAGAGTACCGAATCAAGTTCATGTACAAAGAATGCATAACATAATGAACAAAGCATATCAACTACAGCTGAATCATAAAAGCACAAAAGTATCTAAGTACATAAACAACTAGAAAAGAATAACGAGACCAAATGTCTTAAGCAACCAAATGAAATATTTACATGCTTACGGAAGTAATTTACTTTAAAGAACATAAATTGCAAAAGTAACAAAAGAAATTTTTTTTCATAATATGTTATTGACGTTAAAAATGCTCCTACGAGTCTGCAGATGTATCAAAACCTTGCTTCCGAAATTCTTCCCTAAGACAACATACCTTCAAGAACACCCTAAAATTAGAAGCTTGCTATGAATTTTGCTAATAAATAGGCAGTCAAAAATTGCACATGCCTAGTGCATTTATGCAGTTGAGTTTCGTGGTTGATTCATCTTGATCCATTACTTTTCCAGGCAAAACCATCATAGCATGCTACTCCCAGAAGTCTGAATATTTGACATCAACCAAATTCTGTTTGTCGAACAGCTCCAAAACAGCTAATTGCAAAATGATACGGTGCATGTGCAACAGAAACTATTTACACTAGCAACTGCAATCAGAAAGAACTGGCAAGGGTCTGTTCTAAACAGGAATGTTGTCCAAAGAATATCCATCAAGGTCATACTCATTCTCAGCTGGTCCAATGCCTTCCTGCTGTCAGAAAAACAGAAGAAATTTGATTTGTTTATGATGGAAAATTACATGCAAGCATATAAATATTTCAGGTCCAAAGAAAGGAATGAAGGACAAACCTGTTTCAGAAGTGCACTCATAAGATCCTCTTGTCCATAATGCTCTGTGAAGAAGTTAGTCTGTGAGCTTGCATCAGGAATTCTTTCCGCCTTAACCCTTATTGAATTGTCAACAAGAAGCGTATTGAGGTGTTGTCCAGAACTTTGGAGATTACCTTGTTCCAAGCCTTCTCCCAGAGAGAACCTATTTTTTCCAGTCAAAGTGGCATTTCTGCTTTGTCCAGTCTGTTGGGTAGAAGAAAAGCCCTGATGGACTAAAACTGATGGTGAAACATCAATGTTACCTTGTAAAGGATTTGCATGCTGGGAGGCATTATACGTCAGGCCTGGGTTTGTTATGTCCCAATCATGGGACTTGTGATGATGTAGTTCATTAAAAATATCATAAGTTGGAAATCCACCAGGTCCTTTCATTCCAGAAGTAACTTCCTCTTGAAACGAGCCTTTTGTTGTGATACTGGATATACCTGGAGTGCTTCCAAGAGGGAAACTACTGACAGACATTTCAGTGCTTTGATTCATGGGAAAACTCAATAATGAAGAACTCAGTGGAACAGAATTATAAGAAGGTGATCTGTTACTAGCGACAATCCCATTTCTGCCCAGAAGACCATTAGAAATTCCATTTGGTACAGCTGGCTGCCCCAAAGATGACGGAAGTCTGGGAACACGAGGACCAGTATTTTCACTTGGCATCTGACCTCTAGGTTGGGATTGTGCCATCTGCATCAATAAGGGGTTGCTCTGTGTAGCACAAGCATTGACTCGCATATTCAAGCTGCCAAGGGATTGGGTAGACTGGTGCAAATTGGCAAGCTGCTTTGGCTCCATGTTGGTGGGTATTCCATGAAGTAAGTTCATTGGTTTACTAGTGCTTAAATGTTGTTGTTGTCCTTCTCCAAATCTTAACCTTGGATTTTCAAAACTGAAAAGGTTTCTTTGATCCATTAGAGGCATGGGGACGCCTGCTTTTGCAGTTGATCTACCAAGCCCTGCGGCTTGAAGTGTGGCTAGACTTTGTGCTGGGAGCTGACCAGCAACTGCAAAAGTTTGAAGATCAATTCCATTAATTGAAGGCATTGTCCCAAATGTTGCCTCTTGTGGGCTGAGAAAGGAGTTGTTCAAGTTACTCTGGTGCTGAGAAACTCCACTCAGCCTTCGAAGATACAATCGGTATTTCTGTAACAAAAAACAGGACGCAAAAAAGGTTACCTTCTTAAGTAATCATAGCATAAATGATTACAACAAGAAGAGAGCAACGGATATAATTTAACTCTTTGAATCCTTCCTGATAGAAATTTAATTTCAGTTGGTGACTAGTAATGGGTGTAATTCAGTTATGCAATGGGGTTAGTTATTCTTGTAGTATTTAGGAGTTAGTTATTTAAATAAATAACTGAGTTGTAATAACTGCAATTTAATGGGCAGTTAATACAATAAATGTAGCAGTTATTTTAGAAAATAACTGCAATATTAGTCAGCAGTGTTTTGGGCTCTATATATATATATGTGTATGAAAGTAGGAGGGATGAGTAGCATTATTCTGGTTTTCATATTGTAACTTATGTTCTGCATAGCAGGGGCTTGGAGAGATCCTCCAATGCTCGGAGCAGTTATGCTCTTTTCCTATTGCTTGTAATTCTCTTCTTTTTTCTTTTCTGCTTTTGGTGAGCTGTAATTCTCTTTTAATTCAATAAAATTTCTCTCTCTGTTCACGATAGGAATTTAAACCTATCAATATGATACCTGGAGATGGCTGGCAACATTTTCTCTAGTGAGCCCATGGACGTTCATCAATTCCAGAATTTTTTTTGGAACAGCCTCTGTACACAAAATATCAAATTTGAAAACATTAGAGAAGTTCTATGTATTTTTAATAAAATCTCTAATTAATAAGGCAACACTCGAAACACCATAATTCTTTGTAGATCAGATATTCAAGCAAATATTTTGGGGACAAAATTCTAATTTAGACGTAAAAAAAATTATCTATAGTGAATGCTGGATAGTGAGTAGAGATTAGAATGACCAGGTCGATGAGTGAGCATACAAGAAAATATAAGATGAATTAAAAGGGTAGAAGAAAACTCCCCTTTGATCATATTAGAAAACTATATACAGGCTCCAACAAGAAAAGTCAATCGAAAGTTGAATTAAAAGGGTAGAAGAAGAAATAAAAAAAACTGTGGGAAAAACCATTACAAAAAGGCAGCTAAATGGTTATAGAGAAATTTGGTTTTTGATAGAGCCAATGGCTAGAAGTCTAGAATCCCAACCAGTGGTATAAGACTTGATTGTTGTTATAATGTTAAAGCCACAATGGAATCTTAATTATCTATTAAAATCACTGACTAGTATAGTTTGAATACGAATTCCCGAATGAGCTGACATTCTGCAAAACCTAGGTGCGATGATCCCAAATATTGCAACTAAATACTGAAGATCCAAGTAGTAAAAGTATTATTTTGAGGCTTTCAGAATTCACATACGAAAATAAAACAATATAAGTGTAGAGTACCAAGGATGATGCATCAAAAGTACTGTGATGTGATACAATGCTATGTTGCTTTAGATAGGTATGGGTGGAAAAACAACAAAGATTAAAAAAGAAAAACTTTTTTCAAGGATGCAGGTGAAGGATACATACTGTCAATTCCCAATTGATCCACAGCAGCCACAAACTGTTGATGAAGCTCAACAGACCAAACAACCCGTGGCTTCTTCAATGTGGATGTGTCATCTCTCTCCTCTGCTTCCTCTTCTTCATCCCTTCTCTTCTTTGAGTTCCTCCAAGTGCCTTCATTTGCTGAGGATGAGTAATCTGCATCATCAGATGCCTTTTGCTGTCGATCTCCTTCGTCAGCACTACCTGATTGCTCCGTATCTTTCCACTCATTCTTTCTCTTGCGAACCACATGCTGCCATATGTTCTTCAAAGCTTCTATGCGAACAGGTTTGATTAGGTAATCACAAGCACCATGTGTTACACCCTTCATAACAACATTTTTACCATCATCTGCAGACATCACTGTGATTATCATACAAAACATGTCAGCCGGGATAAAAATGCAGTCTACGAATGGATCTAACCTGATCAAACTAGGTACTTACTAATAACCGGAAGATCCATCTCCAACCCAATGTGCTCTAAAAGCTTAAATCCATCCATGTCGGGCATATGTACATCGCTAATAACAATGTCAAACCCATTTTTATTCTCTCTAAGGAGTGAGAGTGCAGTCTCCGCTCGATGACATTTGGTAACTGAAATGAACTCAACAAAATCATTCCTCAAATTAAATAATCAATTGAATAACGATCCCATAAAGGAAACAAAAACAAATCTGAAAATCCAACAGTTCAAAACCAGTAGCAAAGGTTTGAAGGAATAATCAATATACAAATCTGACATCTCAAGGTGGAGGGCAACAGTATCACTCCAAACACAATAGATTGATGCACTTCATGGTATGAGAAACCAAGTCAAAAGCAAGTAAAGTTGAAAAGAAGAAAAAAATGGTAGAATAATCTCAAATTTGAGCAGCCATCTATGAAAAAAAAAAGGTCCGAGTAATACTCTTTCATAAAGAGATTGAGATAAAATCTCACAACAGGAGGTGATCTCACCCGATAGCTATATATGACAGAACCACGTAATCGATGGAGAGAGAGAGAGAGAGAGAGAAATTTTTTTTTTTTTTTTTTTTCATTTTGGGTTTTTTCAACTGACTGAGCGTCCAAATCGGCAAAATTGAAATTGAAGGGAGAGAGAGTGAAAATCCAGTTTGAGAGAAACTGATTCAGTACCTTCATAGAGACATGTGCGCAGCATCTTCTCAAGAATCATGAGGCACGTGGGATCATCATCAACCACCAGAACCCGCAGACCCGCCGGAAACTGGTCGGAAACAGAGTCGCCGGATTTCATAGCCACACTTGAAGTAACCGTCGTCGACATGGGTCCCTTGCCGTTGCCGAGATTCATGTTTCAGAGATCCAAATAACAGCACAACAACCAACACAGAAAAAACATGAAACAGAACAAAACAGGTGTGCTGCTCACATAGTTTGTTTGAATTTGAGGTGGAAAGTGAACAAAAACAATTAAGGAGCTTGTGCTGCTGAGTTCACAATTCAACGAGAACCAACTCAAAGCGCGCACGCGAGAATAGGAGAAGAAAGAAAGAGAAAACGAAATTTGAGCCAAAATTTTGGATAAAATAATAAATATTGTTCTGCCTCCAGCGTATGTCCTCGCCTTGTCACTGTTACGCTGAATTTCTGGGGTATTTAGTTATTCCATAATTAATTGATAATTATAACAGTTTTACTAATTAGTCGGATTAAGAAATATATAATATTTTTTACTAAATATTTTCTATTAATGGTTTTTTAGTTCATTTTTGACATTTGAAGTATAACATTCAAAGTTGGGTCTGAGTGGCTCCTGAAAGGGTGGATCCAGCTCATTCACTGGAGAAACTAACCCCGCATCTTAAATCTGCTCCCGACACAACTCAACTACTATGGTTTTGGATTTAACTGCGCCTAAGTTTACCGCAACAAAGTATAACGGGCTTATTCTAACACTTCTCTCAATTACCTTTTTTCATTACAATATTTCAGAATATTTGTTAAAAAAAAAAAATATTATTTATCAAGTTAAAAAATAAAATTATAATCAAAATTTTCTTTTTTTAAATAAATGTAATAAAAAATATTAAAAAGGTTCATTCGTTAATAATGTGTTTGTGTAAATTCGTATTTTAAATATTAATATTTTTTATTGAGTTTTTTTTATGTTATTGATTTTTATCTTAGCATCAATGTTATGTATTAATATTTTATTATATAACAATATATAGGTTTCAAAAAATAGACTTCTCATGTTATGGGAATGGGAAATAATATTCTTGCAAATCACGCTTTTTTTCTTCTTCTTCTTTTTTTGCATGATAATATTGTGTGAGTCTCACATATATATATTTCGGCAGGAACGTTAATTATACTGCAGAAGAAGTAATCAACCCAACTTAAAAGTAGCAATTCGTTGTCACAAATATCTAAACTTTTATTGTTTTAACAGTGGAAGAAATTTGAATTTCTTAAACATATAATTTTGGATTCAATCATGAAAAAAAAAAATGTCTATTAAAAAAATAGTTCTTGCCTTCTATACCTGATCATACTTTAGGATATTCGTATCTTATATACCAGATGATGATAAGATAGTCAAGATACTAAAAAAAACTAAAATAAACATCTCAACTTCTTAGAGTAAAGTAAATAAATAATATACTTATTATGTAAACAGCAATGTGTATGAAAAAGAGAGAGCGAGCAAGCGAGTAATAAACTTTTGTTGTAGATGTGTTATTTGCTTTTTATTGACACCATGTGAAGCTTAATTTGATTTATTTAGTGGAATAGATAATAATAGGGATATAATTGCTGCTCTTCTATCTTGTGGAAATCATTATTTAAAATGCTGTGTCTAGCTGTATGCACCCAATAATTTCATGTATGTACTGGCTTTTTAAAAAAAATAAAAAAAAAATTAATTATGGACCAAAGGGCTTATTTCCATTAATAGGATGCAAGCATGTTGGCAATTTTATATCGAAAGCTAACTATGTGTAAAGCATGGCAACAACTTATGGTATTTTTTTGCATGTGATATAAATGGTGTTTTAAATTGAGATATAAATATGAATCATTAAATGCTTTTATAGACATTTATACGGCCTTAAAATGAAGCTTCGTGGTTAGGTATGTTAATTACTAAGTAATTATCTACAGGGTATACGGTGAATTACGTAATTCACCGTGATCGAATATTTAGTTCACTGACCAAGAATTATTCCTTTGGTATTTTATTTTATTTTCCTACTCATGACAACATCTTTTATTTTAGATATAATGATAATAACGTGGTTCGAATTTATAATAACTTTATGTAAACTACTCTAATTATTTTTTTATTTTTTTCATATTTTCAGTCGTGCATGTACATAAAAATTGATGTAAAGAATACTAAACCAAACATTATCCATGGTGGGTCTCTTACTATTAAGCCTTAAATAAATAAATTTCTACAAAGTTCGATGTTGGTTTTTTGGATTTGAATAAATGTCTACGTACAAGCAAACCAATGCCAAATTGATGCAAGCCAGTTCATTGATTTGGCCAGAAAATACTTAATTGGATGGGATGCACCTTGACATGCACACCAGGGAAACGTAACCAAGCACAAACATTAGGAAATTGGCAACTTTTGTTCCTTGCAAATAAATTCAACAAAGAGTGGTTAAAAATAGTGTTGGTGTGCCCAAATTCATGTTGCCAATATATAGTAATATTGTAGTGTTTTCATTCCATTCCAAAGCGATGTTGGCATGGCAACCACTAGTTCCATTGTGGTGATGGTTTCGTTTTCCACTTTGATGTACCAAGAGTGGCTGTTCCAAATTTTGCAAGTACGAGTAATATTGTTATTCTTTTTAAGCTTTCCTTCAAAAAGCAATATGCTACTTGTCATATTATCTTAGTCCCAAGAGGTAAAATGAAAAGAACGAAAACCTGAATTTTTTAAGGAAGGAAGAATCATAGAATAATAATTAAAAAACAAATAAAAAAATGTTAACATAACAAACGGAGTGCAAAGTGCGTATTCCGTTCAACTTTTTTTGATTCTGAATGCTGTAAAAAAAAGACTGAAGCTCTGCTTTTGAAGCGACTTCAGTTCAATCCAACCAACTTGAATGAATCCCTATCCTTTCCTCAGTATTTATCTCTGTCTGTTATGTTGCGTTTTTCAGTGTGCACTCTGACTCATTCTTTGCTTTTTATAAAAAAAAAAAAAGTTTATATTGGTTATTCATCTACCCATTTCCCCTCGCTTGACACATGTCTCTCGATGCCCCCCTTCCATCGGATAAGGTCTTCTTGGCTTATATTGCTCTTTCATCTTTTAATGATAACTACTAGGTCGCGCTTTTTTTAAATTCGGATTAAAAATAAGAAACTCAATAATTAAACAATTAGAATTTAAAAAATAATTCAATATTAAGACTACTGAATTTTCAAATAATCATGAATATAATCAAACATATTTGTAGAGATTATTACTAATCAATATGTCAAGTTATGGAAATAAATAAAAACATAAGTGGTTGTGGTTGTATTGTTTAACCATCAATTGGAATACGGTACATTATTTGAGATTAAAAGGTAATTATACAAAAGAATAATAGAATGAAAATGAAAACAAAAGCTAACAATTAATTAGAGGGAAAAAAAAAGTTAGGACTAAGAAGTGTCGCAATTCCTTAGATAAGCAAACCACGCAATATTTTTTAATTAATAATATTTATATATGAAAAGAAAAGCCCTTTTATTTTTAATACTGCAAGAAAAGCAGTGAAGCATAGCCAAAAAGCAGCAATCTGCAAAGCGTATATTCGCTTGGGAACCTTTTCTTTGTTACGATGAATAAATAAGAGCACACAAGAAACGCTTTTAACAGGGAAAAAGTGGGAAACGCTTGCGTTGGTTAGAATAAGCAACAAAACACAAAAAGTCTCTAATAAACAAAACATATATATAAGCTTGAAACTGACATTGTCATTCCCCAATGTCCACTACTATCATCGTTTCTTCTCTTAGCTCTTAGCTTTCGCTTTGGCTTCTCCCAACAGATTTAAATCTTTAAAGTTCATGATTCAATATTATTAATAATTATTGCTTGTTTGTCTCGTTTTGTTTATTTATTGTTTTCTGGATTTAAGCTTTTTATGGGTTAGAGAATAACGAAAACAGATGATATATGCTTTTAAGGAAAATGGAATATTTGCTTGTGTCACACACACTGTGTTATAGATGGCGAGACAGAGAGAGACTGAGAGGTGGGACTGGGAGTAAAAGAATTCATGCGCGGAATTAAAATATTTATTATTTATAATTTATAATTCTGTGTATGTGTTTTTGAGTGTGGGTCCAGATAAATTGGGTTAAGCCACGTGGCGATTCACTGAAGTTGGAGAAAAGTCTAAGCAACTTTTGCTAACTTTTCCCTGTCTTTTTTTGCATAATAATGCACTCTCTCTGCTCCTTGTGCTGGTGCCTTGTGCAACACCTCTTTCTTGTTTTATACTTTTGATATTGGATATGTTATATTTATTACTTGTTATTATTAAATTTTAATTATTAATTTTTGTCAATCTAATAGTTATAATTTATGAATTATATTTATTAATTAATTATTAATTTATAATAATTATAATCGTTAAATTAACAAAAATCAATTATTAAAATTTAGTAGTAACAAATAATAAAAAAAATAAATAGTAAGTATAACATTTCTCTTTTTGATATTTGTCCATAATTGAAATATAATATAAATTGTTTTTTCTATTGCTTATCGTTTGAACTGATGCTATCATTCTTTGACCATCACCATCCATTAAGCACCCATTCTCATCTGTTCTCCTTTTTCAAATTCAATTTGATTATGATTTATCAGTTTATGATAAATTAAAAATATAAAATATGCTTCTGTCGTTCTCATGTCTAAGTATTCGGTGTTTGATAAAAGGATGTAGTTTACTTTCCTCGTTCATCCTATTAAAAATCCAAACCGAAAATATGTTGCTGCTACAGTAACAATATCTTCGAGATAAACTCTTTAAAACTGAAATTAGGTCATTAATTACACGATAATTCGCCACTAATTCCAGAATTAAAAAAGGATGAATAATCATATCACTTTAATTAGGAAAACTTTTAAATTCCCCTATTGTTTTGTTTCGAATACTTATCTTTTATATATATATATATATATATATATATATATATATATATATATATATATATATATATATAGAGGATAGGATATTTTGATATCAGTAACAAATTTTGAAATTTAACATTTGATTTTTGTCAATCAACGATTATCATTTATATTGAATCAAAATTATTAATTAATATTAATTTTTAATAAACAATAAAAGTTGATTAGCAAAAATCAACAGATAAGATTTTGTGTCAAAGGATCCTGTCCTTTTATATATATATATATATATATATATATATATATATATATATATATATAAATGGACAATTATACTCACCATTCTTGCAACATGTTTAGTTATTGTTTGATCAATTTAAAATTAACGGCAATTACTTTTTTCCTTTTTTCAACCATTATTTTTAAATTGATCTAAAAA